AAAAAAAAAAAAAAAAAACCACGGTCGGGGTGTTGGCAGTCAACACATGTCTTCTTCCGCCATCCAAAGGAAATAAAATATCGCACGGCGGGTTATTACTTTCGCGTTTAATTCGTTTCCAACAGCTGTACCACGGCCCGCCCAGGCTGACGAGCCTGTCAGAACAAAGTGTCACGGAATCCGACCGACGGGTTAGCTCGCTGGCTAACGTTAGCCGTAACCCCCCTTAGCGAGCGTTAGCATTAGCGTTAGCCGCTAGCCGCTAGCCGCCTAGCCTTTCACAAACCCAGCTAGCCTGCTGCGCTAGCTTGACGGCTTCTCAACAGGATTCAACCGGACACGATGAAACAGCAATTCTGGCGTTGAGCCACGGGTGAAACGATGGTGTTATAGTGCGTTATTCGTGAATGCGGGATCGCTGCACTTACAATATTGGCGGCTTTTAATCCTGCTTTTTGTCTCTCTCTGGACGATTGCCTCCGTCCTCCGTCTCGCTCAGCGTTCAGGGCAGTACCACTTCCGTTACACTGGCACTTGTGTTTCCTCTTTTTTCAACACACATCTGCCTTACGTAATGCGACCATTGCTCATGTGCTAAATAAGATGATTAATAGAGCCAGACTTAAAATTAGGGATGCACGCTTACATTACATTTGNNAAAAAAAAAAAAAATTAAAAATTAAATTTAAAAAAAAAAAAGGATCATGCCATGGATTTAACAATATGTCGATTTATTTGTAATGAGATGGTTATAAGAGGTTTTTTTTATTTATTTATTCAGACTTGATTGAAGCAATAGGGTTAGGCATATTAACGTAGCTGCTGATTCTTATCTGGCTTTTCTTGTCGACTGTGGCTTCCTGTTTTAGTTACTTAAGACAACTTTTTTTTTTTTTTTAAAGAATAGGCACACTAGTGGACAACCCACTTCTGCTTTAACATTAGAGCTGTCTGCACCATTTAAACACATCACACCACTATATAAACACTTGTGGGCAGGGAAGTGGGAGAGTAATATTGGTGATCATTGTGTCAGTACATTGCATCATTAAGTGTGGCACTTATATGTGTAAGAAAGCTCATTTCACTTTCCATTCTGCACAGCAAGGTGACAGGTCAAGGTCAGTGAGAGCAGGGCTTCAGTGTTTTGCTCAAGGATACTTTAGCAGTTCAGATACTTGTCAGTGCAGGGTCTTGAACCTGATCCAGTTGAGGACTGATTTCTGTTATCAAGAGTAAAGTAAAACATCTATCATTGTCATTTAAAGGCACTAAAATACCTCAGAATTAATTAAAGACTTAATGTTAATCAAAACTGCTTCATGAATAATTTTCTGTCAATCACCTTATTGATTATTTGACTTATTATTTCAGCACTATATGACAATGATCTACATTTTGCCCATAAGTGACTATATGCAGAGTATCTGTGATGGAAGTAGTTGTACTATCTCTTTGCAGAGGGGAAGCTTGTGTATTTTCCAGGTGCGAAGTTTGGACACGTCACATATGTTGTTAATCCATGTCTGTTAGAGAAAAGAGGTACCACTATTCATTTCAGATTTAAAGACACAAAACTACATCGTCTAATGGAAAACTGAGTTACTGTTGAAGACATTTTCTAACTGTCAAGCAGCTTGAAAGCTGGCATGTTCATCATAAATCAGAAAAGAGCTGCACATGTTCTAGTAGAAAGCTACCAGAACTCATCTCTGGCAAACTGATTAAGAAACAAACTGAAGAAAAACCACCCTCAAAGATGGCTGCTTCTTCAGAAATATAGAGTCACTTATAATGAGGGAACAGCCCTTTCCTAAAGAGACAGAGTGCGTTAACTGCGGTTATTAAGTTCAAACTGAAGTATGGAGTTAAAAAAAAGGACTTATTCAAAATGATTTTCTCCCCAGCTTGGTGCTTGCTTTGGCAATTCACGTTCACAAATAACTACATTTTTCCCCCATCAATCACCGGTACCCACTGTTTTTCCAGTAACAACACTCCTTTGTCACTGAAAGTAAAATGTAAAAGCAGGGTTCATTATGTTTACTTAATGATTTCCCTACATTATTTTAATAATCACTTTGGGTCATTATGTTCTGCTCATCATCAACAGACACTTGTCCTAAACATACAGTATACAGTCTTTACAATAATCCTGACCACTGAGAGAAACACAAACACAGCATGTATTGAGTTAAAATTTGTTTCCTTTTCTTACTCAGCAGTATACTGGCAGCTTAATAAAAACTGGATGGAAAATTTTCCTGCTCACATGTACCTCAGATTCCAGACTAGCAGACAGCACTCTCCTCTCTCACCAGCAACTAAGACACAATGATGCAATTAAAGACTTTAATTTTTACATCTGTTATGCTCCCATGGATACTCTCTTCTGCAGCGAAAGATGAATACATGGAAGTAAGAAAACCTAAGGTAAATATATTTTTCGGGGGTTTATACACTGTGTAAATGAGTGGGTTGAAGAAATGCATAATAGTGTCGAGTTGGGAGGAAAAGTGGAGCTATTATGAAGATTTCTTCTTTTTACAGAAAGACATTGTAAGCTTTCCAGACTACGGTATGCTCCAAGACTCTGACCCAGCAGTAGTTCCTAAAGTCGATGGTAAGAGTTGTTTTCACAGATAAATAGTTTTCAACAACTGTTTCAAAGCCGATTATGCAACACTTGCTGAGGCATTCTTCCACATTTTTGTGAATGTAGCTAAAGCCCGTATTATGTAATAATGGGGCTGATCAAGTGTCCTCATCTAAACTGTGTGTAGTGCATTTTAAGCTGCACAGTCTCGTTGCTGAGACCAGTTAGCCGACTTATCCAAAGGACAAATTAATGAGAAAAGGGGTTTTTTTCAAAAACAAGGTGATAAAAACAGCATTGTGATCTTTTTCAGAGTTGCCCACATGTCTGCTGTGTGTTTGCTTGAGTGGATCTGTTTACTGTGAGGAGGTGTCCCCTGAAATGTCAACCGTCCCGTCACTGCCAAAGGAAACAGCGTATCTCTACGCACGTTTCAACAAAATCACAAAAATAGGCAACAGAGACTTTGCAGACATGGGTAAATAAAAGTCCTTATAACAGTCAGCTAATTCTCTTCTTCAGTGAATGTCATCTTTGTCAGCTCGCCCACTCTTTGTTTTTGTTTTAATCTCCAGCCACTTTAAGAAGAATTGACCTAACGGGGAATCTCATCTCTGAGATAGACGATGGAGCTTTTTCAAAACTTCCCAATCTTGAGGAGCTCAGTCTTGCAGAAAACAGACTGACTAAACTTCCCATGCTGCCCAACAAGCTGGTGTCGTTCAATGCCAATTTCAACAGGCTTAAAACCCAGGGTGTAAAGGCAACTGCTTTTAAAGTAAGTTAAGCCCACCGATCTCATGTCAAAATGCTGTTATGCACCCTCGCATGTGTTCAGATGTTTAATATAGAAAGCAGCCTAATACAAAACAGCGGACTTTTGTTGTTGCAGAAGCTCACAAGACTGGCATACCTCTACCTTGGAAACAATGAACTGACTGCAGTGCCCCAACTTCCAGAGTCTCTTCACGTTGTGCACCTGCATGTAAGTTCATCTCTAATTCACTGCAATCACAGCAATTAATCAGAGAAGCTCTGTAGAAGCAATTAGATTGCTTTCTGTCTGCTGAGCCGGTTGTCGCTACATGATGGGCCAATTTGTGTCTTTGGATTGGTCTCCTGTGTCTGTTCTGCAGAACAACAAGATCTTAACAATAACGGATGAGACGTTCTGCAAAGGTAACAACAGTTACTACATCCGGACCAACATGTACGAGGTGAGACTGGACGGGAACCCCATCGTGCTGTCGATGCACCCTAACAGCTTCATCTGTCTGCAGTCTCTCCCCCTCGGACGGTACAACTAAAATAACCCTAGCATGGATAGAGGTAAACCTTGGGGGGAGGAGTTCTGTGTAAAATGAAGGATGCAGATACACAGATAGTAAAAATACAATTTGGAAAATACGGTTCTTAAGTTACATTTTATATACTCAAATCTACCGTACAGTTCGAGAACAGTTTTGATAATTAGACAGAAATTATATAGTTACAGAACAGAAAGGCAGACAAGCAGAAGAAAGAGCTTTTTTTGTTTGTTTCTTTTTAAATAAATGCTCTCTGCCAGTATTAAACACATCTGTGTAAAATCATCCAGGATGTCTCGAAAAACAAAGACTCTTTTTTTTTTGTATTTTTTCTTTTGTTACATTGAGCTGAGATTGTTTTGTCTTGGCAGGTGCTATGCAACATTTTTAAACACATCAACATAGACTAAAATATGAGACATTGTTGATATTTTATATTATTTCATTATTTCGTTGTTACATTTGATTTCACACTAGTGGCATCATTACTGCTAATGTTTCTTAAACTGAAGATCATATTAACAATAAAACCTGCATGTTGGAAGTGGTTTCTCCATCAGCCTTTCACTCTTAATTACATTCCTAACTGTGACATAGT